AATTATCTCTACTAATCTTACTTATTTCCTATAATCAATGACAATAAAATAACCTCTTATGTCCATAGTTTATATTCAACCAGCTGTTGGTTAAAACAAATTATATTGCTCTAAAACAAATCGAAGATTACAAAGATTGCTTTAAAAAGTAATTTGAACATCCTAGTATTTTACTATGTATATTTAATTAATCTGTCATCCTCTTACAGAAGAATTGAACGTATCAACGATTAGCATTACACATAGTATAAATAAGTCAACCCTAAGTATGTCTTTACATTTTTATCCAAATGCTGAATTTGTGACACAAAAGCTGAATGTTTACAGCTGTTATGTTAAGCAAATTATTTTAAGCCAAAAGCTAGTTTAGAATCTTAGCGTCGGCTGCTAGACTTTCTAAAAATTAAAACTTAATTTCTAAAAAACTGGGACCCTAAACTAAAATTATGGCTTCGACATTCCCTAGTTCTCAAAATTATCTTTCTTTCAACACAAAAATCATGAAAATCCGTCAAATGGTTGATTCAGAATCGTGAAATAAAAAAACACTGTTTCGTTTTAATATTATAGATTGTATATTAGATGATTCATTCACAGAAGGATTTTTAACAGTGTAATGAACAATTTGATCATAAATAATATCTCAATACATTCCAATTTTAACTGAATAGTAAAAAAATAGTAATGATGAAGACTGACAAATTTTATAAATCTTTACTAATGTATTCTGGGATTTTACGATGTTTGAAATTTTTGTAAATTGGAATCTCAGGATATTAAATGTACTAGTACTGCAATGCTTACTATTGTATCAAAAATATTTAGTTCAAAAATACTATCCAAAAACACAAAATTAAGAATCTATAAAACTTTAATTCAACCAGTGCTTTTATATGGTTTGGAAACCTGGACATTAACTAAAAATCATGAAAACAAACTTTTAATTTTTGAGAACAAAATTTTGAGGAAGATTTTCGGACCTATAAATGAAGAAGGTATGTGGCGAATAAGAAAAAACCGAGAGCTCCGAGAACTGTACAAAGAACCGGACATTGTAGCCATAGTGAAGAGTAGACGACTGAGATGGGCAGGCCATGTAGAAAGAAGGGAAGAAGAAAGTATGCTTAAGAAGATCGCCAATGGACAACCACGAGGCACTCGCCCGCTAGGAAGACCGAATTTGAGATGGAGAGACCAAGTCCAGAAGGACCTACGCAGAGTGGGGGCATCTCTTGACATGGCGGCAGATCGGCAGCAGTGGAGGCAACTTGTTGGCGAGGCCAAAAACCTTCTTAGGTTTGAGTGGCCAAGGAGGTAAGGTAAGGTAAGTACTGCAATGCTGTATGCAAAGCTTACATTATTCGCGACTGCAAATTTGTGATGTCATCACGATCACCAGAATAAATTATCAGTATGTCACATTGCCGCGATTGCAGTTGATGATCATAGTTTAATGGTTTGCATAGTTGAGTAAGTAGAGTACCCTGATTAATGAAATAGAAATGGATACACAAATTATCCTAGAAACGTTTCAAGCAGTTGGTACATGGTAGCATACACAAAGTTCACAACCACCATTTTATTTCATATTGCATTCTTACAATGGGTACACAGGGTGTCCACCGACCCCTTGGTCCATCCCCCCCGAGAATTTTCAATTTGCCGCGATCGCGCATAAAGATGACGTTTCCGTGACCGCGGGAGACGATGACGACGTTTCCGTGACCGCGGGACACTACGATGATGTTTCCGTGACCGGGGGAGACGACAATGATGTTTCCGAGACCGCAGGAGACGACGATGACGTTTCTGTGACCGCAGAAGACGACGATGACGTATCCGTGACCACGGGAACCGACAATGACGTTACCATGTCCGCAAGAGACGATGATGATGTCCAAATTCCAAATGGCCGATCTATTTAAATAACATTACGTTTAATGAGTAGGTACCTAGGTTTGCTGCTACAAGGAAAGTAATAAAGTGTATTTTTAAGTAACATATTAATAGCTTAGTATAAAATAAATAAATTTGCCAAGTTTGATCAAAATATATCCATAAACAAGCAAATTACAACATCTATATATATAATACGCTAAGCCGATTTTTGTGAACAGAACTCCTCCCTCATTTTTGAACCGATTTTGATGATTAAAGTGTCAAAAACATTGCCCTGATCTGTAGTTTTGCAAAGTGTTTTTCGTTTTTTGATATCCCTATTAGTTTGGGCAGGATCTTCCATCAAAGTTGGGTTTCTTCCCATAAGATTAACATGGGGGAATCTAAATATTTAATTCGAAACTTTATCTCCGCTAATTTGTGAGAACGGCTGGGCGTATAAACTTGGTAGAGGTGTCCAAAGAAAGGTATTGGTCTGTAGATGAGTTATCAAAAGAAAAACGAGGTAAATTTGCTTAGGGCTCTGCCCCAGAAGCCTTTTAAGATCCCTCCACAGATTTGTTTACATTTTGGTCATGTGAATAATACTTTTTAATAAAACAGCTGTTAATTTTAAAATTGTATTTTAAACAACACACATTTATTGGGAGTTACTAAATAGTCCAAACGAAGTAAGTAGTTATTTGCAATGTTATTTTCTGATTTTTAAATTGATTTTCTTCTGTATCATGTAATGTGTTGCAATATAAAGTTCCATGACGAAATCAGTTTTTCCTTATATTTTATCATATTATTCTAGACAGATCATCAATAGGTTCGTGAGATTATTGTCATACATGCTTTCAATCATTGGAAAAATCTTCGATTGTGTAATACAATACAAAATAATACAAGTGCAGAAGGGCACGGAGCCCATTTGAACCGTGTCCATATATTTTTTAAAATTAATAGTGGTTTATAGCAACTGGATAAAACATTTTAGGCCTACAATATTTATGTAGAAATATGTGCATGATTTGAAAGTCATTAAGTTGGAAAACTGCAATATACTGCAGACTTTTCATAGAGGTTACTTCGATGTATTCATTAAGCTTAGTGAAAACATAATATAGATATGCATACGCAAATAAGAACGTGAACTCTTAGAGAGTCTTTGCATGTTATTAGACTAACGAAAGGGGTTGTGCATGTTTACTAGCGCTACTCAGCAACAAAAACCATTTAATTTATCTCTAAAATATATATTGTTAAAGCGCAGCAGCCTAAAAAATCTATGTAACTTACCCATATAATATAGCTCAAACTCACATTGTGACATTTATAATTCGGCTTATATTTCTCCAACAAAAAATTCATCTGCAGAAGAATTTTATTGTGCTTTTACCGTTTCTAATAACATCCAAACACAGAAACCTTAGCTAAAATAGTACCTATCTTGACAAATTATTTGCAGTGGCCTATACTACGGACCGGGGCCCACTTGGTTGGTAACATTGTTTGAACACGACATTTTGGCTGTAAAAATGGCCCAATGAGTAAATAATATTTAAGCAGCTACTGCCATGACAGAAAGGTCATATTCCTTTTAAACTAGATCACATTATCCTTGATAAGATACGTTGATTAACAATGCATGTAAACGTCAATATTTACTTAAGAGCCAATTTACATTATTTTTTGCTTTTTGGAAATGCCACATTACTATGTTATTCGCATTATTTGTTGCCAATGAAGCTGCACGACCATATAAATCAGGAGGTCCCTAACAGTTCAAGAATAAAAGCCAACTTCACTTCAAGTATATTCCACTACACCTAACATTACATAGAGAGGTTATATTGACAACTTTTTGTAACTAACTGATTAGGCTGAGACAACTAACTGACATCCCCTATGTCAAGGAATTCCAGCTTTAACAGTAACCCCACAACCAATTTTTCAATACTGTGCTAGAGGGTTATTCATTGGCACAGAAGTACGATATGAACTGACCCGACGTGACGAAGGAAAAATCAAACTTACACTGTAACGGATATACCATACCTCCCTTTGAAGTTAGAATGTGTCATCCCAACAAACAGTTTTTTTAAATACAATCATAGATTAATCTGCATTACACTGATGAAATCACGGAAGTGTTTAACTACAAAAGATCCACCAATACGATTTTAATACTATTTAAAGGTTCTTCCAATGGAAAAGATACCAGATAGCATACTAACAACTCCGATGACGTACAGTATGGGAAATATTTTATTCATTGAATGATCAACCATATTTGGTAACTAACGCAATTAATACCATTATTGTTTTTACACTTATTAATCTTTAAACAATGCTAAATATGAATAATTTCACTCAATTTATCGCAGTTAGGTGAATTAGCGTAAGCCTTGAAAGTAACCGTCGATTTCGACGGGTTTCACCTAGTTTTACAATATTTTCCATAAGAATAACACAGGAATTTTAAATTTTTTAAATTTTCTCCATTACCAATTACCGTACAAAAACACTTTGATATACTAAATTATTTGTTATTTTAAGCTCTTTAAAAAGGTTTAGAGAGAAATTGGGAAATTTTGTGTTTTGAGGGTCAAAAACTAGAAGAACAATACAATTTTTAAGCTTTTTAACCGCCTTTTTTATTTACGTATATTTATATTACAAGTCAGTATTACGTCATCAGATATAGTACAACAAATCCTTGGTATGAGTTGCGAATGATTTGACTTGAGCTGGCTTCATGATTAACTTGGACTAAAAAAATCACTAAATTTCTGAGCCAGGTGATGGCCGAGTTATCCAGACTGCCGGGTTATTGAGTGCCGAGTTTGCGGGACTCTACTGTATATACAAAATACATATATATATAAAATACATATTTTATATATATATATAAAATACATATATAAAAATTTGAACGAACAGTGTTTTTGGTCTCTCGGGACATCAAAATGAAAAAGTAAATCGGTCCCGGGCCTAGGTCTTACCGTGCCACCTACGGTAATAGCTACTTCCCTATAGGGAAATTCGCTAAAACTATCTGTCGTAACCTAACGTTACGCTAGAAAAGTGGACAGTAATTATAAAGAACCACTTACGATCGCTGTTGGACATAGAAGAAGGAGCCGTGACGAATCATCCCACTTCAGGGCTCAGTGCACAGTGCAGCCACCCCGCAAAACATAATAACTCTTCCGTTACTAATAATTATAACTGTTCATATATGAAACTATAATGACTTCTACTACACTCGTCTTCCCCATAAAAAAAAGTCAATATCATAAATTCAAAATTAACTCAACTTTCAAAATAAAATAAATTCACTTTCAATAAAATGCAACCAAAATTTCTTCTTCCCATTATTCAGTAATAATTTTACAAGTCCAGCCTGTGAGGCTTTCGCACAGTCCGTGCAGACTTCCTCAGCGAGGGTGGTGGGCTGCACTGTGCTAGCGGCGACGCAGGAGTTGGCTGAGGCTGGGCTTGCCCTAGGCTCTCCCTGGGACTGGTCGTAGGCCTAGGTACAGGTGACATCATCATGGGACTGGTTGGTCGATCCTCCGGCGGGGGTGAATTCTTGGGTACTTGGGGTGATACAACGGGGTCCTTGGGTGATACAAAAATCTCCTCCTCTTCTGCATACCGAGCTCTCAAGTGATCCGCATGACAAAATCGGGGTTTTCCACCAATAACACTCACCAGATAGGTGACCGGACTTCTCTTTAGAATTATTTTGCCAGGAACCCAAGATATCTTTTCATTTCGGACAGTTTTGACATAGACTGCCTGACCTTCTGAGAAAAATCTGCTTCTTCCCCTAAGCCTATCAGCTGCATCTTTTTGTTCCCTGTGTTTTTGATCAATGGATGACTGGAGATTGGGTTTTAACATAACCAACTGAGTACGAGGCTTCCAAGACAGGAACATTTCTGCAGGGGTTAAGCCAGTAACTGTATTTGGAGTGTTGCGGTACGCAAACAAGAAATTATCTAATTTCATTTGAAGAGTGGTACGCTGAGAACGCTGATGTTCCTCAATCACTTGACGCAAAAGGTTTTTCTTGACCTCCTGAACACTTCTCTCTGCAGATCCATTTGAAGCCGCATGATACGGGGGAGTTAATGTGAACTTCACATTGTTGTTATGCAAAAAGGTCTTGAACTCTTGACTAGTAAAAGATCTTCCGTTGTCCGACACCAGTTCAACAGGCAATCCATACGATGAAAACAAGGTACGGAGTTTCTCGATAACCTTGGAAGAATTCATGGAACTCATGATAAATACCTCTAACCATTTAGAGTATGTGTCAATCAAAACTAAAAGTTGCTGTCTCGACTCTGGATCCTCCGCAAAGTCAATGTGTATCCTCTGCCATCGAGTTGATGTTGTAGGCCATTGCTGCAACGGTACTTTAGGTACCGAATTCCTAGTTAACTGACACGCAGAACAAGAGGCCACCACGTCTTCAATCGACTTCTCCATGCCTGGCCACCAGACATAACTTCTCGCCAGCATCTTCATGCGTGTAACTCCCGGGTGTTGATCATGCAACATTTGAAGCACAGATGAATACAGTTTCTTTGGAATCACTACACGAGAACCCCACAGCAAACAACCTTGTTCCACGGACAACTCGTCCTTCTTCCTTAGAAAAATAGCTAGTTCTGGCTCAACCGAGCTCGTCCAGCCGTACATCACAAAATCTCGGACCTTCGAAAGAATCGGATCCTTATCCGTCATTTTACCTATATGCAAGGCAGTAATAGGTGCAATGTCCTTGACAACACAGAAATTGTTCATCACTTCTGTACACACATCTACATGTGAAACAAAATTAGCATCCAGCTCTATAGGTTCCGCTTCTGCTAAGGGTAACCTAGACAACGCATCAGCGTGAGGGACATCCACTCCCTTCCGGTACCTAACCTCCAAATCATATGCTGATAGAATCAAGGCCCATCTCTGCAGCCTAGCTGCCGCCATACTAGGAACGCCCTTTTTAGAGCCAAAAATAGCCGTCAACGGCTGATGATCAGTCTGTAGAATACAGTGTCTTCCATATATATACTTATGAAACTTTTTGACTCCAAAGATCAAAGCCAGAGCCTCCCGATGTAACTGAGAATAATTCCGTTCACTGGAACTTAGCGTTTTCGATGCGAAGGCAATTGGCCTTTCCTGACCATCGATAAGATGAGATAGAACAGCAGCCACCCCTCTGGGACTCGCATCACACGTCAGAACTATGGGCTTTTTAACATCATAGTGAACTAACAAACTTGAGTCCAACACCCATGATTTACTCTCCTGAAAAGTCTTAGAACACACCTCCGACCACACCCATGGATGATCCTTATGTAATAAGTCATAAAAACAGCTTATTCTAGCAGACAGGTTAGGTATAAATGCATGATAATAATTTATTAGACCAATATAGGCTCGTAACTCTTCCTTAGTACTAGGCTCAGGCGCTTTACGCAGCGCAGTTAACAAACTTTCTTGTGGACGGAGACCATCTCGAGTAATCACATGTCCTAAATACTCGATTGAAGATTGCAAAAACTTACACTTTTGTTGGTTTACTCGAACACCAAACTCATCAAGGCGTTGCAGCACCTGCGCCAGACGGGCAAGCCCCTCTTCCTTAGAGCGAGCCGCCACTAAGACGTCATCTAAGTACGCCACCGTTCCTGGAAGACCTGTTAAAATTTGGTCGATGGCTGACTGAAAAATTGCAGGAGCTGAAGACAAACCATATGGTAGCCTTTTTAAACGATACAGACCCTTATGGGTAGCTAGGGTCAACAGATGTTGCGATTCATCCGCTACCGCCAATTGCTGATACGCATTTGAAAGATCAAGGCAGCTAAAAACTGAGCAACCGCCTAGAGTTGCAAAAATATCTTGAGCCTGTGGAAGCGGATAATGTTCCATTTCAATACACTGATTAAGAGTAATCTTATAATCGGCACAAAGCCTAACACCATTAGGCTTAGGGACAACCACAAGTGGAGTGCTCCACTGTGAATTAGTAACTCTGTACGCAACATCCTCTTGAACCATGCGGTCCAACTCACTCTCAACTTTCTCCCTTAACGCAAAAGGCACTGGTCTCGCCTTACAAAACTTAGGGACTGTCCCCTCCTTTAAGACAATATGAGCCTTAACACCCTTAATTTCGCCCGTTCCAGGCTGAAAAACTGACTTAAATTTACTCTTCAATTTAGCAATGTCCAAATCAGAACTGTGATCCACAGTGGCTTTACATGAAAACACATTTTGCCAATCTAACCTCAACTGGCCTAACCAGTTTCGCCCCAACAGAATCGGCTGACTCTTACTTTCTAAACTAACTACTGTCAAAGGCAAACTCGCCTGCTGATTATTATATTTAACATTGACATTCACTTGTCCCAGAACAGGTACATCATGACCTGAATAAGTAGTAAGTTTCACATTTGCTGGCCTAAGTTTGAGGTTAGAAAATTTTTCATAAAATATCTCAGAAGGACATATAGTCAAGGCACTGCCTGTATCTAGAATCATTTCTAAATATACATCATTAGCCACTAGGCCTACCTTATAGCCGTTGTCTGATCCTGATTTAAGGTTGTACAAACCTATCTCTGCCATTGGAACTTCTAGGCCTAGGCCTACCTCTTCCTCCACTTGATGGACCCCCATCCTAGGTGTCGACTTTTTACCATGGAAACTAGAAGATTTCTTGGCTTTACACACTTTCTTGAGATGACCTACTCTCTGACAACCGTGACACTTGTAACTGGCGAACGCACACGCACTAGGCCAATGACCAGCAGAACCACACCTCCAACAAGAGTTTCTAGAATTTTGATTTTCACTACTCCTATGCATGAAAGTTTTAGGCCTATTTTGACTTTTCACATTGATTTTCGCAATGTCCCCACGAGGTTGCACAAATAGGCTTGACTGCGATTCGGCCTGTTCCAGCCTGAGCGCTGACGCATAAGCTTCGTCAAAGTCCAATTCCTCCGACAACAATTTCTGCCGGATAGTTTCATTAGAAATGCCGGAAATCACTTTGTCCCTCAAAGCGTCTTTCAAAAAGGTACCAAATTTGCACGAACTAGCCAAATGTTTTATTGAAACCACAAACTCCGCTATGCTTTCGCCCGGCTTTTGCACACGAGAGTAGAATACATATCGCTCCGCCACAACCAACTTCTTGGGCGCATAATGTAATTTCAACAACGCTGCAAGTTCATCATAGGTCTTAGAATCTACCTCTACTGGTGATAATAAATCGGATAGGACCGATAAAACCCTGGGACCAATAACTGTAATTAAAACCGACACCTCGTTTTCCTTCTTGACATTGTTCGCTTTGAAAAAATGTTTCAGGCGCAACAAATAGGGCACAATGTCCTCCTCACTTGGATTAAATTCAGAAATCCTGCCAACACTAATACTCGCCATTTTTAATCATCTCAACTATAATACGCACTAAAACAACAACTGTTATCGCGTACTACCCTAACTATGATAAAAAGGTTTATTACCGACTGCGCCAAAATGTCGTAACCTAACGTTACGCTAGAAAAGTGGACAGTAATTATAAAGAACCACTTACGATCGCTGTTGGACATAGAAGAAGGAGCCGTGACGAATCATCCCACTTCAGGGCTCAGTGCACAGTGCAGCCACCCCGCAAAACATAATAACTCTTCCGTTACTAATAATTATAACTGTTCATATATGAAACTATAATGACTTCTACTACACTATCCATTCCTTCTCCCTTAATTTTTTTATAAACCAAAAGTGTTTTTTCTCCAAAAACTAATTGGTAGTTAATAATTGAATTACTTTCATCAAAGACAATAAATACAAATACACTTGTTTCCTGAATATTTTTATGATTTCTGAGATTACACTCTTACCTCTTCAAACATTAGGCACTTCTGCGCATACTGGTGAGCCAGGTCAAGGTTGTTGTTCTTCAGATGTTGCACGGTGAGATACTTGTATGCATGTGCCAGATCAGACTTCATATCACTTGTTGTGGTTTGTTGGACCTCTTTGACAAACTCTGTGTACGCAGTAAGCGCTTGCTCGTGCATCAGAACTTTCTCATATAATCTGTGAGCAGTAAAGCCAAATGTACTCTTAATGCAATCACCCATTTACACTCAAGCAGGTGTTTTGCCTCACCAATTAACTAACTGCCTTCACTTCCTTAAATCTTTTACTATTGATAAGTAGACTTCCCAATCCCATATATTTGCAGCCAGTTTTATAATAAAACTAAACATTCAATTGAGTCACTGACAGAGAGCGCTAAAGTGAATTACTGATTTTTGTCAAAATATGGCTATTTTAAAACCAATCCTTAACAAAAGTACTAAGCCATACAAAAAAGTGGGGGAGCGAGCTGATCTAGTGGTTAGAGCACGAGATTTCAGTTTCTGAGGTCCCGGGTTCAAATCAAGTCAAGTCACCAATGGATTTTATCTAAGTGATAATGCCGCAACCCCTAGGTCTAGGCTGAAGTAATGTGAAAAACAATTCCAGGCTCGTGCCTAGTGTCTTAGAAAAAAAAGTAGGGCTGAGTGGACGGATCTTGAAAGTTTGAGATATTTCCAAAAAAAAGCTTTAAAAGGACATCATATTTATGGTAGTTGGCGAAGAATTAAGGAAGTTATGGTGAACCGACAAAAAAAGGACGTTAATAAGGAATAATTATAATATATATCTATCTTTATATTAATACGCTAGGCAAGCATGTTTCTTTAAAACCTATTTTCTCAGCTCGTGTGCATTGCAGGGAAAATTTATGCATACTGTTAGAAAGATATTTTCCTGTAGATGTGCAGAATTAATTTATTTTGTAATTGTATTTTTTGTTAATATTTTGTTGTTATTATTGGTTTTTTAGAGGTTAACTGTAAGAAAGGACCATGAGGTCCTAAGTTCGCCTCAATAAAGAAGGATTTTCATTCATTCATTCAGAATCCCGTCATAAATTAAAATAGGCGCAAGAATAAGCACAAAAATTCATTTGAAATTTGAAAAAAATTTAATTGGGCCTTATGGGTTGCCATGCTGGTGACAAAATAACAACAAAATGTAAACAGAAAATATAAACAAATGAAAGAAATTCCACTCACATGTTTTATTTAAAGCGTGTTGTGAAAATAAAAAAGTCAGTACACTAGATATTTTTGGTTGAGTTTTCAACCACTGGACAGCCTCTAGTAGGCTATAGATTATTGGCTACTGCTGCTGGTCTATATACTGTAGAAGGAAAATCTACTTCAGTGGCCAAAATAATAAAAAAAAACTTAAATCCTCTGAGTCTTCTTCATTGGTTTTGAACAATATCATGATTTAGTTAAACTTCATCTTTTAATGTAGCGTGTCACTGTCTCTAAACTAAGAGTAACATTTAGTTGTTTTTTTTTTTTTTCTTTTGTATTTAAGTTAAGTTGTAACAGTTTCCTTAGCCTAGTTCTTTTCGGCCTTTTAGGCTTATCTAAGGTGAATCACGTGATTTCAATGCAAGTGTAAGAACAAAGAGACACATTGAAGTAACTTGATCCTGTATTGGAATAGGGAGGGGGGCACGCGGAAATTCCTGAATAATTTTGTTTTTATATTTATGGTCGAGTGAGGTGTCGTTTTCGATGGTTCTAGTTATTCTAAAACGATTGGGACTAGTTTTAAGTGTATTGAACCACTCCATACAGGGTGTTCACAAATATTATTACTTTTTACGATATTTAAACATTAATTCATAAAGTAATAAAACTAGTAGGCCTACCCTTATGCTCTATATAAAAGAGGATCATTGAAAATAACTGTAATTCTTTACTACGTAAGGAGGAAAGATCACAAGGAGTAAGAGAAAACATTAAATACCCCCGTCACAGCAAACCTGCAGACTAAGCGAATTTCCATTTACTTTAGTTGATTTTCAATTAAATCAATTGCAATAGCATTGTGTTTAACGATTGCCTAGGTTTGCTGCTACAATGAGGCTAATAAAGTGTGTTTTTAGTAAATTATTAATAGCCTAGTACAAAAATTTTTTTACAAGTTTGATTATGACATATTTATAAACAAACTGACTATATCATTTTACACTATTCTACATAAGAATAACACGGGAATATTAAATTTACAATTTTTAATTTTATCCGTAACCAATAACCATACAAAAACACATTAATATACTAAATTAGCCGAGATCCATGCAGTGGTCCGAAAGGCAGTGCTCCGAAAGGCACTGGTTCGAAACTCATTTTCGGACTACTGCCTTTCTGAGTACTGCCTTTCGAAGCAGTGCCTGACCATGCTAAATCTGTCGGACCATTGCCTCATCTTTGTATTATTTTCGAACCACTGCCTCTCGGACCACTGTCTTTCGGAGCAGTGCCTGAGCGTGCAGATTGTTTCGAACCAGTGCCTTAGCAATGCATTCTTTTCTGATCACTGCCTTTCGGAGTAACGCCTGGGCTCCAACATTGGTTGAGGGAGGAGCAAGAACCGCAGGCCCCCCCCCCCCCCGTTGTAGGGGAAAGGAGGGGTGTGTCAGTGGTGGGCGGGGTCAGAATGCCACGGTCATTGACGAGACCTTCTCTGGAGGAATAACCCAGCACAACCACGCCATCCCGAGCGCTTCCGAACCATAACGAATATAGCCGAGGACCGAATATAACGCCTTGTGTCGTCTGTCTGGAATCGGGACAGCGGAATTGAAATCGGAACGAAACATCGGAGCGATGTCTTCCAATCCCGAGCCTCCTTTGAACACTGATAGGAATAGATTAGTCGTTTAATGATGTTATGTAATTAATTATAAACTATTCGCAGACCAATTATTAAAAGTTAAAAAATCCTATGCAAGCCAAACTAATCCTTTAATCTTCTTCAGTATATATTTATCCTTTTTTTAAAATCTATGTTTTCTCGAAAAATAAATAGTGAATTTCAATCTACCTATAGTTAGGCAACAGTTTTAAAGTAATTTTGAAAAAAAAAACTTTATAGTTAAATGCAGAAAGCTATGTGGAAATAAAAAATGACATTTTACATGTTTAGACACAATAATAACAAGTAAGTCAATTTTTTCGTAAACATACCCCTTATTTTAATTAGGTACTGTTAGTTTTCCGGATTTTTTTTTAAATCGCATTCCGTCTGATATGCGAAGTTAACATTGCTATTATTTTTTTTAGCTTCTTAATTGAAATCAATGTGGCCTATCCAAAAACACCAACTTACCTAAGATTAGCAATATCATATTATTAGAATGCTACGGTAATAACTTATTCTTTTTTGGGAAACTTGCTAAAATTATATCCAAGTGTTGGTATTGATTACTATTTATTAGATCTTGTTCGTTTGTTTTTTAAGATAACGATACATTATTGTTTAATGCGCCTGCTTGAAAAGAAAACTTACAGTTACGTTACCTATAGGAAGGAACTTAGCATTTCACTTATTCCCGTAGGAATTAGATTATACAACACAGTATGAATAAATATTGATGATGAATGAGTTTTTTTTATTTCGGTTGGTCGCCTACCTTTAATTCCTTTTAAAGACTAATAACTGGAAACATAAGATAGCAAATGAGAGACACCATAACATAATACCTAACCAAATGCCCAAATAAATATTACAAGTTTAAATCATTATAGGCTACTTTGAATCCTCAAATGAAACTTAATTGGATGCTAGTTTCAATGAGTAAATCGATTGCTACTGCTACAAGAAAATGAAGTAAACACATCTAAATATATTTTAAAATGTAGGTAGGCCTATTCAATCAAAATTCAACTCCCTTAACATATGTAAAACATAAATAGTTGTAAGTCCTCAAACAATAACAAAATTCGAATGTTAAAGTAAACGCGTAGAGTAAATTAGTAAAGTGAATTATAATTAGAAAACTGAGAAGATAGAACAAAATTTGACACTCTCTTCTAACAGTAAGGGGCTGTCGTCAAGATGCTACCCCCACCCCGACAACACGCCACCATCTAGAAAGTCGAAGTGTTGGGTTGACTTGTCCGGCCATTTAAGTGTCATACCAACAGAATAGTAATAAAAAATAATATATAGTACATTGTCGTTCTGTCCACCAGTAATTTTAATACGGGAATATGTTTTATTTCTTCATAAACCCCTTTGTACTGCCGTTGATTATGGACGCTAACTGAAAACAAGTGCATGTAATACACCATATATAAAAAGGGAACGAGATCCACATGATATTATTTCTTTGTACTATCGGTCACTAATTACAGAAACATCATTTTCCTGCCAGCAGTAAACCATTTACACTATCGTCGATTATAGGCGCTAACTAGAGCTACAGTTAAACATAAACAAAGTATAGTACGTCAACTTGTGACCTACAGATACGAACTGTCAATTAAATTGTAAGTTAAATTGTAATATATAACCAGGTAAAAATGTAGAATACGTGTTTCATGTAGTACATGTAAAATATTTTAAATTGCATTAGGTTTGTAATGGTCACATTTTATTGGGGGGTTCGTTTTAATTATTTAAAGGCCGCGAAGGCTTGAGCGCGCTTGACAACAATGTCACACATGTCCACTGCAGCTGGTCATGTCTCCTAGTTCGAGACTCGGCCGCTGTCACCTTGAAGCGCTGCTGTAGACGTGGTGGGGAGAAGCCGAGACCAGCGGACAGTGGACAGTTCTTAGGACAGTCTACGGCGAGCGCTTGTTCGCC